AGTTCATCGACTTGCTTCGTGAGCCAGTCACTTACCAAAAGCTCTTAGAGTCGTGATACCCCTCACGGTGTCCATGAAATGGGTGCTGAGAGTTTGTAAGTCAAGAATTTCTCAATGGAGAAAGGCTCTGCCGTATAACTTACTACAAGGGGCTTTTAGCCTCGAGATCCAGAAGCCTAAGCTGTCTAGAAGTCCTAAGATAAAACTTTTGCACCGAGTAGAGTATAACAGCAAGGAACGGATAACTAATAGCCAAGTATGCCGATGAGATTGGCATGACTGCAGCTTGTCCGAGGGCTTGGAAAACCTATTCCTTGATGTTAGTAGTAGTAATACTAGGCTTTAATCATTCATACTTACACAGAACAAGGTGTTCAACAAAGCATCTGGAAGTTCAGTATCAATCAAATTGAGATCTTGTGAGAAAAGATTGGTAATAACGCCGGTGTCGGTGTGTGTGAAAAAGGACAATGGGGCCTGGATCAATGTTGTGAGTGTATCGTGATGAAGATTAGCACCAGCTCTCTTGATCGACACAATAAAAAGAGTGATGCCGAGGAGTAGCAAAGAGGTCAAAGCCGAGACCTGCAACAACGCGTATATGCCGACATAGTAAGCATGAGAGTGACTTCGGGTGTCCGATGATATATCATCAGTCCAGAATTTTATCCCTGTAAATAAGCACATTAGTTATGTGACGAATAGTGACTCATTGAAGAACCGTTCTTCACTTACAAATGGTGGGGAAATTGGTAAAGAAGCCCCAGAGCGCAGCCAAGAAGAAACAGCAGAATGCTACTAAGACTCCCATACTCATGAAATAGTACTTATAAACCTCCTTGTCGCCTGTTGCACGGCTCAGGTCATCAATGTTGACTTCGGCTCCTGGTGGCCCGTCTAGTGAGCTTTGTGCGTCCACTTGGGCTTCAGTCCGCTCTTTCGAAGCTGTTGTTTCGGATACAGCCTCACTCCCGTCACCTCTAGCTGAATCACGTATGCCGAGACTCTTGACGTAGCCTCCTTGTTCAGCAAGTTCCTTGAAGCTGCCTTGCTCCTTGATAGTGTTGTCCCCAAGTGCGATGACGTGGTCGGAGAATGGGAGAAAGCGAACGCTATGAGTACACAATACAACAGTCGTGTGTCTCTCTCGAAGTAAGCCTCCAGGTCCAAATACCCGCTGGAAAACGTGCAGCTCTGTATCTGCATCGAGGCCGCTGAACACATCGTCCAGTATCACCAAGTCGGACTCTAGATACAAGGCGCGCGCTAAGGATACACGCTGTTTCTGACCTCCTGACAGGGTGATGCCATCCGATCCGACATTGGTTTGGTCTCCTTGGGCGAGTTTGGCAAAGTCCACTGATAATGCTGTGGCTTGGATGACTGAGTTGTATCTCTTTTCGTCGTATAGTGAAAAGCCGAGAATGTTGTCGCGAATCGACCCATTCCACAGAAAAGCAGTCTGGTCACAGAAGCCGATACGGGGGTATCGCATACTCAACACTACACTCCCTTGGCTGAATGGGATTTCGCCCAGAAGGGCCTTGCAGAAGGTTGACTTCCCTGAACCTACTGGCCCAACTACCGTGGTAAGAGAAGACTTTTTGATGCGCGCATTGATATCTTGAAGGACAAAGACATTTTCTTTCCAGCCAAAATTGCCACTCTTTATGCTAATCATAGTCGAGTCAGGTGTCGTTTCGATCTTTGAACTACCCGTGTCTGCTTCGATTTCGGTAAAACTGAGATTCTTCTTGCGGTCAGACAGGACTTGGCGGAAGTCATGGCGAGTTTCGCACTCTAAAAAGGCCTGGATGCGCCCAATGCAGGCGATTCCAGAGACAAGTTCGGGTATGGAGGTGAAGATTTGAGAGAGGGGATTGGTAAGGAGCATCAAAAATGCCAGACTTGTGAAGACCTTTGAGGTATCAAGTGAAGCCCGAGTAAACGCAAGGGTCAGGGGAGGACTGATGAGCATGGGTGTGAAGCCAAGCATAGCGGCTATGATGAAGATCTTGCGAAACCGAGCACCAGCAGCAAGCTCCTCTACTCGTAACTTCTGAACGAAGGAGCTCACCGTGGAAGCCAGACCGGAAAGCTTGAGGTTCTTCATTCCAGCAATGACTGTAGCCGTCAAGCCGACGCGCTTCTGCACGCCTGTCATCCACGCTCTCTGAGAATCTCCTGTGAAGTTTACCAGAACTCCCAAGAGGGTGAAGCATACCACAACTACTCCTATTGGAACCAGGAAGACTAGTCCCAGCCTAATATACAGCATCCAGGCAGCTAGGGCTGCCTGTATAACGCCTGCCCAGACATTATGCAGCATTCTTAGACCAAGTCTGATTCTTTCTATGTCGGTACTCATCAGAGTTAGGGCAGCATTATGGTCGTCTGCTCCGATGCGGGCTTGTGTGGCTCTGGAAAATATCTCTGTCACCAATATAGATCTAGTCATTGCTCTCATGCGGTGGTGAAGATACCTGTCATGTGTCAGTCTCGATCCAAAGAAAGACTTCTAACTATAATCTGACGTACCAGCAAAGAGCTGCCGAGACAGCCATACCAAGGTAGATCAGTATTGCAGCACCTATAAAACCATACCCCACATTGGCTTCGATTTCAGGCTGTGAAAGATGATCTAGTAGCTTTTCGATGAAGAATGGCTGGCAGAAGGTGAAGCCTAGCAGAGCGAGTCTCAGCGGAATCGGCAGAAGGAGAGGGACCATAAGAGTCTTGACGAGGACCTTGACGAGACCGTAGGTATCTCCTTTTAGTTTGCTGTAGTCCATATTGGCCAAGAACCTATCGTGGAGTTGCTTGCTATGCAGCGCAACATCAAGAGGGTAAAGATCATCCATGGATAGTGTAGACCTGTAGCCTTGCAGGAAAATACTGTTTAGCCATGACATAACGCCGAGCGAGAAGATACTGCTGGTTTCTTCAGGGCTATGCTCATCTCTGTCCCACTGTATCCATTTGTTTTTTGACTTGGTTTCCAGGAACAGAATGACGGCCTTGACGGCCAAAGATGTTGTGAAGACGGTACTGTAGGTAATCTCAGGTGTACTCTCAGAGAGCAGGAACAGCGTGCGGGACTGGGCAATGTCGAACAGTAGAGTCAGGAACAGAAAGGTGTCTAAGAGGATCGAGGGACGTGGACTCCTGTTATGATCAGTATAACTGATCATAACCATGGCCAAAGCTGCTACGAGATTGAGAACAGAAGATGCGATGAAGATTGGAGTGACATGGAACGAGCCCATGCCGACTTGAATCAGCAGCGCGATCTGAAGGCCAACATATGTTATGATAGCTCCCTGATACAAAGTTAGTAATGAATCCATGCTTCAGCGACGACATACCAATTTGACGAGCTGGAAGATGGGCGCATGAATCACTAGGGGCTTGCGTGACAGAGTGATAGCGCGCCATAGTGAGCATGCGATAAACAAGGTGCATGGAAGAATAGAGAAGAAGAGCTGCTCAAAGTGAAGATTGAAGTCGAACCGGTCTCGGTTCATGTACAGCAAGCCAAACTCACTGTCGTGGAATGGCATCTTGGCAGACTTGGCTGTTGTAAGGTGAAGAGTCTCGTGTGTTGTGTAGGTGAGATAACTCGAGGTGCTGCTCGGGATACCTTAAGTCGGACTGATTAGTCCGGGTTGGCACTCTCGCTAGATTGCCTGTTTTCAGTATGCAATACAGACGGAGCCTAGAATCAGGGCGTTTGATTGCATGGGCTAGGTACTACTGGGTAGTTGTGTTGTCAGGAATTGCTTTTGACAAGTTGTCTCCCATTTCGAGGCACGTCGTGTTGATACTCCTTCCTATTTGGAACTATCAGCATCTCTTCCATCAACTCACGTTTGTAATGAATGCGCTACGACCTTACAAGGAGCGATGAATATGTTCCTTGGCCCTGCTAACCAGGCTGATGCTGCAGATTTCTGATCTAACTACAACAGCGATTGTATTGCCGGATAAATAGCTCGAAAAGAAACCAAACTGACCCCCAAACATACCAGCACATACAATGCAATGCATGGCCCGCAATCCTTCGAGATACCTACCTGAATATGAGGGCCACTCTAGTCTCTGTACGGGCGATACGGGTTGGTTCTGCTGTCCGAGGCCTTGCTCCGCTCAATAATTTGGGTCTGAGACAACTTGGAAGGTAGTATCATCAATTCGAGGCGAACGCGCCGTAAACTGACATGATCAGTTTTGGGGGACAAAGAACGACCCCCCCCCCCCTCCCCCAAAGGTCAGTTTTCGCGACCCCTGCTCATGTTGTTGGTTCTACTATGAAACGACCAACACTCAGGCAAGGGTAAGGTAGATAGGGCAACTCCAAGTAGTGTACCATTACGTAAAACAACAAAGATACTGAGTGATCATTCTATGGAGTGTAAGATCTTGAGTTAGATCGATAGTTAGTTTATCTGGATCAACTTAAAACTAAAGCATGGAAATAAACTACTCGGGAAGATCCTAAACTTAACCCTCATGCGGTTACTGTAGCCGGGACGGCAAAATTCCCGGCTGGGCTTACGATGGACACCCTAGTAGCACACTAAAACGAACACCCTGTCAAAGTTCTTTTGGTATATGCAACCAGCGTCAAGGTTCTCGTAATTCTCGGACTTGAACATACTTGCTGGGCTTTATTCAACTCATACACCACGTTACATCCACCAGGTATTCAGGGGTACTCCATCCGTGATTGGTTATCCAACCACTCAACTCGACCTCATCCAAGGCAGCATCTCTTTGTACTGGAGTTTTCGTATGCGCGAGACCCTGTTCTACAGCGAGACCAAGTGCGTCAATCACCATGGGCTAGCCTAACGCAACAACAAGATGCAAGTGAGCAAGATGTTGGTGACACTTCAACCCAATATAAATACTCGTCGACAAAGACAGACAGGTCTTGGGCTCCCCACGAATACAGCAGTCGAAAAAAACGCCGAGAGATCTCTCCTGTCCAAGTTATTAGCATGTTCTTGGAAGAGGTTTTGGAACCTACTCCCAAGAAATCACGATCTCGCCGATCCACTAGTCCTAGGGCTGTTCAACGACGAAGGTAAACAACTCGATCCTAAGGATCTTACCAAGTTATCCTTGCTAACTCGGAACTTGGGAAGAATTCAGAACAGATTATCTCAGCGCAACCACCGTAAGTATAAACCAGTCTCATATCATCCAAACTGGCTAACTGTCTGAATATAGGGCGAAGGGCAAAAGAAAGCAGCGAGGCTACCAACAAGACACTACCTCAGTACGCAGGCGAAGGCGAAGGCGAAGGCGAAGGCGTAAACTCAGAAGTGATTGCGGTACCACCCATGTCCGATAACAGCACAATGCAGCAAGGCTGTGGTCTCGACCGGACCCAAAACCTCCATTACCTGCCAGGGAGCTATCATGAGCCTCTCCAGTATGCGAGCAGTTCCGAAAACTCGGTCGATTACTTTGAACGTCAACAACTGTCCCACAGCCAGCTAAGCTCTGCTCCAGCAACTGCAAACTCAGCGTGGTATTCAGCAGTTGATATGCACAACCTTATCGCACCAGAAGACATGGTTTCTTTGTTCTCACCGGACCGGGAATGGTCACAGTCAGACATAGAACGTTTGTCAGCACCAATGGAGTCCAACGCTACCAGGCCAGACTCCCAGCCCCTGTGTGCCTGTCGTAACAGCTCGGAGCCGGTGCTTGGACAAGTCCCAGAGGGCTTTCCATTATGGCGCCAGAACGAACAAGGATCTGATATGCGCAGGATCCCATCGGCGCAGAGCCATTCTGAATTGGATTCCCATAGATTACGCAGGTAAGCCATGATACTCCGATTATATCTCGTGACTTAAGCATCTCCACTAACAGACGTTTCAGTGAGACCGGTCATCACGGACCGGGGCCCGGTCTGCATAACAGCGCCGCAGGAATGCCGCATTCGACGCTGCAGGGGCATGCCAATACTTGCAGCAGCAGCAGGCTGTCATCTCTATCTTCATCCAAAGTATCCCCATCGGCGGAGGAAACTAGTCCGTCTCCAGTAGCCGAACTGACCCGCCGATTCGACTCCATCCTAGAAGCCATGCGCACATCGGGTTTCCACAACTTTGACGAGATGGCAGTGGCTTACTATACTGGTCGGTTCAGCACAGGGAGTGTCCCGTCAATCATGCAGTGTTCTAGCCGGGGCCGGCGCTTGAAAGTCATACTTCAGAAACTTCACCAGGACAGTCAGGAATGGCCCAAGTGGGAGTCTCGGGGGCTCCAAGAAAGCATGTCGACTGCAACTGGTAAGAATCAGTCTATTGACCCGTCTTCAATCGACTGGATACTAATCCGATTTCATAGCATCACTTTGCGTTGATGAAATTGAACGATTGGTCAAGGAAGAATTTCCAGCACAAGCTCAAGACAAACCACCATGTAGTGGGACGACACTCGAGCAACTTCTCTCAACATATGATATCGGATATGTCTTCTCCAGAAGCAAGGAACAGTCATTATCTCCCCTTCCATCCGAGGTAGCTCCAGATAAGGTAAGTGAACAGTACTCGTCTTCGGATTTCGCTAACTTATGGTTAGATACCGCACCTCTGGTCATTGTTAACTGAACTGGCTGGTATACGTAACGTGTATTGCGACGAAATCGCTAGGTTGTTACTAGGTATTCTTCTCTTATCTAGGAGACTTTTATAGAGGATAGATCAAGACTTGTCTTCAGAGGGGTATATATTTATTCTTCCCAAGAGTCACTGCAAAGATCAGACGCCGAACGTTTGGAACATCCTTTCATTCTTGAATTTATGCACTGGCCAAATCAAGAGCAATCATGTATCCATAGTGTTGCAGAAGAATTAGACAATATACAAGTAAAGGGAATTAAACTGTTCAACGTTTCCTTCATAAGTTATGCATTTTCCTAACCTCCCAAACTACCACACCATTCAGGTTGAGATGCATTTGACTTGGTTTGTATTCCGAGGTGTAGGACAAAACTGCTGTGTGTATTTACTTCCGCGGAAGCCGGATACTTATTTCATAGACCTTCGTGCGCGCATTGGGCTACACGCGGCTTCCAGAGAAACTAACGTTTTAGCAGCTGATTATCTCGCCGGTAGAGAGCACCCGGATGCCGTTGTCCATCAGCCGCTGCGGTGGTCGTTCCCAGTTAAGGACCTTACCGCCTCTATCCCGGATATCCTGCCGCTTCTCATACCAACTGTCCGCTGTGACGGAGGTTGTCTGCCCTTGCACAGTTTTTAAGAAAATGGTCTTCTGCGGTGGCTTGGGCATTGCCGGCCACTCAATAGGCCTTGGAACGTTGCCTGAATGAGAGCCTGCTTCCCGTCGTTCCCGCCATTCCTTCAAAATGAGTTGATATGATTCGACTGGATGGTCTAGCTTTACCTCCGGATGCTTCTTCCACTCTGAACTAAGGTTTTCGAGCTTCTGATCTTCGTGAGGTATACTCCTGAGACTATCATCCTGAGTAATAATCTCATAGGTGGTGAATATAACACCTTTGACATCGTTTCGGTCCTTGACGTAGCTCTCACCCTCGCCAGGTAAGGGGCAGTTGATGCGCGCTGCGAAGTTGAAATCAAAGAGCATGAGAGTCTTTCGGCTTGTCAATCAGGAGGTTTCGTGGGGCGATATCCTGGTGTGCAATGCCATACTCAAGGTTCAAGTCATCTACGACCTTAATGAGTTGTTGTAGCCACTTGAGTTTAAAAACGCGTGATTTGTTCTGCTCTAGATTGCGGCCAGGGACGTAGTTGCTAGTGAACCCGACCACGCGACCCTCAAGCTCGTCGACGACCACTCGGTCAAAGGGGACAATATTTGGGTGGCGTGGGAGACGCAGCCATAGATTCATCTCCTTCCAGGATATTTGCGCATACTGCCACAAGAAGTAGTACTTAAAGACGACCTCTCAAGGGTCAGCTTTATCGCAGGGCAAGACAATCAAGGCCGGCACCTAGATTCTACCTTTTTAGCAGGTCCTTCTATGCATGACGAGTACGCAACAAGGTCCGCGTCAGGACCAAGCCTCTCTAGTTCCTCAAACTTGTCCCGCCGAATAGTCCGGATTCCTTCTGGGAGACAGGCATCGTGAAGAGACGGGTAATGTACACAGCAGGCCGTGTCGTTTTTGGGGTCGGTAGATGTCGAGATAACCTCACCGTTATGAGATAAATGTATTCTGTAAATGGCGGGAGACAGCTGGTCGCTATGGCGGCTGAAATGTTCTATTGCCAGACTCTCGTCGTCTTGCTCCCCATCCATAGCTACTGAAACGACCCGTCTCTGATCCCAATCGACAATGTGCCAAGTGGTTGGTCCACCAACCGGGATATCACCGCTTAAAGCAAAGTATCTGAACTCGTGTTCGATCATATTGCTGACTTCTTGAACGATAAAGTGCATGGGGACTAAAGAAGAGTGAAGTAAGGCAAATGTTTGTATGGGTAGATGGTATGGTTCGATTAGTCAGCCAAAGCATTTCTTTCAGAAGTGGTCAAAAGATTCATCACGATTTTATACCAGGAGTATTAAAATTTATTAACTCTCTTTTCTCTTAGGTTGCATTGAACTTTCCAAATAGTTTCAGTCTTTTTTAGTAACTTTGAAATCCTGTTGACGGTCAATGTCACTGTTGTTCATAACACTAGGTCTGAGAGTATGCTGGTTGTCAGTTATGTTAGTTGGTAGCCCTCGACTACTCCACACGTCTGTTGCGTTTGTTAGGCATGAACTTGTATCGTGATAGATCTTTACGATAATCCTGCTAGGTTCTGTATGTAATTAGAAACTGCGCGGCTATAACTGTCACAGAAACCTCCAGCCTTGACGCTGTACTTGTCCCTTACTGGCCATATTATAAGTAACTACACAGTTATAGAGCCGTGAATACAACAATACTAGGACTACCCGCGCGCGAACTGAGTTGGCCGTGCCTCGTTCGACCTGCTGGATGCTAGGAGACCTTTCTAACACACTTCCACTCGTGTCCGCAAGGCGCTTGCGTCTTCGAGTCTGAGTATATAATGGCAATAACGGTTGCAGCTAGAAGACAGGAGGCATATACTGAGCAAACACCGAGACGCATTATACCCTTTTTGCAAGAACAAATATATAACCATCCATCCTTATGACCTTCTACATATTCACAGCTCGAGCCAGTTTAGTATGACGATAGCTCTAACACGTATTATAGCTGACCAACTTGCAGTGCAAAAGCATACCCATCAATACCACTAGAATGTATTCACCATAGCCAACCAAGCAGTATTAATTGAACCCCACAAAATCGAATGAACAGCAGGACAATCTAAAGTGTCCAAACCCAACACTTGCTACTGTGGATGGTATTTCTTTTACGCGGGCACCTTGCACAACGGCACTTTGAAGTGCGGTACCAAGCGTACGCGTTCTGGCCAGAGCGGGTTCTGCGAGGTTGCCGCGCCGCAGTATAATGCTGCCGCTTTAGCAGGTCAATAATTACTGCAATGAGTGCCTCGGGGGACAATAGCATGGGCAATTCCTAGAGAATATGGTACATTGGAAGAAGGGACGGCAACTATCTTGCCGTATCTTGTGAATTGTGTTGTCTGGATGTTGATGCAGGTTATCTGGCCCGGCCCATACCTGTCTTTCAGCCATCATAGAAGCATTTTGGGAGAAGAATGAGTAATTCATGAAGAAATATAAAGGCTAAATGACATCAAGTATTATCCATCCTATCCTTCTCAGACACCAATGCTCACACTCACGCTTATGCTTATGCTTCTACCATGACATGTCATGCGTCTAGAGAGTTCTGTTGGCCTTTACGTAACATCCCATGCGACAAGATCCCACCACAATTAAACCCTAGACCAAAAAAGAAAGACTATCGTACAAAAGAAGACAATCTATCAATCTTGCTCGAGATCAAAAATGTATAAGAAAGCGATGGTTTCGTTAACTTTATGCAGTCACAGCAGCTGCAGCGGCTATCTCCCCCTCGGGATCTCCGGGCTCAACAAACGTCCGCCAGACATCGATCCGGTTCGTTCCCGGGGTCCGTGGACCGAGGCCGGCGAGCTCGGAAGACCTGCGATTCTCGCTGCGTCGCGTGCCCTTTCGACTGCGCGAGCTGTGGCTGTAGTACGAATCATCATCGTCGTAAGTATTCGGATCACGCTCCACGATCAGAGGCCCTACGCCTCCGCGGTATCCCTCTTCTATCACCGGGGGTGGCATTCCCATCGGTGGTGGGCGCATGCCTGGAGAGTCTGGGGCGTAGCGGTCTTCGGCATGACGTCTGTCCATGCGGCCGCTGTAGTATCCTCCGCTTCTGGGGGTGCCTCTTTCGAAGTCTTTTGGTGATGGGGGAGCACCGCCGACGACTCTGCGACCTACGCGGCGAGGACTATCGCCTGAGTAAGGATCGCTGGACCTAGGTACTTCTGGAGCACCGCCAATATCGTATTCGTAGTCTTTGCCATGGTAATGCGACCTGCGGACCAATTCGTCATCACGTTCCTCCTGTTGTTGACGCATAATAGCTTCTTCATCGTAAATCGGGGGTCGTGTAGGTTTAGACTTTCGTGGCCGTCTAGCAACACGAGAATCTTCTTCAGTGCTATCTTCACGAAAGACTTGAATCTCGCCTCGGTGTGTAACCTCTGGCTCGTGGTCGGATTCGGGAGCATCAGGGTCGAACCATGGACATTCGCATCTCTTGGGTTTCTCTCCACATACGAGACAAAATTCGGCACCACATCGACTGTATATGTTAGAAGAATCCATATCCAAGTGCGAAGGAATACTCACCATAAGGCATGGTTATCGCCCTCTCGGAGCTGAGCTGAAGCACCGCATCTATAGCATCTCTTCCGCCCCTCGACTCTGACATAGTCAAGAAAGCTCGCCGTCTCTTCGTCCCTAGGACACTTGCTCGCAAAGTGCCACCTGCCATTACAGGCGACACAGACTTTAGTGTTGCATTGATCACAACGAGCAGCTTTGCGTCCCGTCTCACGATCGCGGTAAATATCAGCTGGTCGAATCCATTCACCGCATCGTCGTGAGGGACAATAGAGCCTGTTCCTGAGGGAGTACTCGACAAACTTCTTGTTCCATATTCGTTTGAAGGTAGAATCAAAAAGCTTGTCAACATGCTCCAGACCAATGTGGGCATCGGTGCAGCATGTTGGCGGCATATGTTCAGCTTCTGTCATTGATTGTTTGAACCGCCTCTTCAGACAGCTGTGGCACATGCGATGGCCGCAATCAAGTTTGGGGCATTTGGATACAGGGACTTCATCTAAACAGCCCTTGCAATCACGACTGTAGTATGGGTTAGCAATTGATTGTCACAATATGATTGACGCCACTCACATTAAACGCGGTCGGTCTGGGGATGAATTTCTGGATGAATCAAAGCCGCTGCGGGCTATGCTTGGGGGACGTCGTGAAGACTCCCTAGAGACTTCAACAGTTTCAATTGTAGCTATAGGTAGTCTCCGAGGACGGCCCTCACGGACTAATTCACGAGACTCAACCACCTTGGCAGTTCTGATTTTTAATTAGCATTGGAGACAAGAAGCAATTGTAAATAGCTTACCTTCTGGACGCTACAGGCGGCCGAGAGGCACCAAGCACACTATTGAATCTTGTGGGAAGACTGTATCTAGGTGTATCGCTGATCTCTCGTCTCAGAGCAGGTCTGCGGTCCGGTGAGCCTCTTTCAGAAGAAGCCTGTCGATATCTTATGTCTCTTTCGTCCGAAGTCGACGGCGACGGTATTCTATTCCGCCTCCGTGGTGTTCTCTTTTCATCTGGTGAACTGAGATAATCGTCTGGGCTGGGTGATCGGCGATGTCGACGATGATGGCGTCTATGTTTGTCCTCTGGTTCTTCCACCACAACCTCTATCTGGTTCTCATCGTCGCTCTCCTCGCTCTCACTTTCACTCTCGCTCTCACTATCTGTGGGCGGCGTCGACTCGGGGGTAGGTTCTCTCCGTCTTCGGACCACCTGCCGGGGCCTCGCGGGCTCCGGGTGTCTACCCCGTGGCTTCATGGCCGGCCAGCGTTCATCATCCTCGTCGTCTTCGTCTGCTTCATATACCGAGAACTGAGGGCGTTTCTTGTAGATATCTGTCGAGGCACGCATCAGGTGTGCTGGCGGCATGGGCATTGTAGGCGGGTATGCATCGAGGCTCATACTCCTCGAGTATCCCCTGGGTGTCCTTCCGTTGGGCCTTTGTAGTTCGTCGATTCGGGTCCGATGGGGCATTGGGTACTGGTTATAGGGCACGACGTCACTGGGGCCGTACCAATCGTGAGATTCAGGGCGGAGGGGCCTGCGACGCACGAGTGGAAGTCGGGCCTCTCCATCAGCGACGTCTCGATCGTATCCTAGCCTCATTTTTGCTGAGTGGGATGGATGGACTCCTGCAGGACCCAGAAGGGGGGGACACGGCACAGCGCAGCAACAGCACAGCTCAGCGCGCGCTGGACAGTGGACAGCGAGAGTCTGGCGTCCTAGGCTGGACTAGTTTATATGTCGGAATGCAACGGGCAAGGGCCAAAGTAGTCGTGATGACGAGCGGTCGAGCCACTCAACGAAGTCCACGCTGCGTGAGCAATTGCACCCCCCAAAGATGATTGGAGTCTGGGGGCTGATCATGCATGGCAACCGCAGCTTGCAGCGTCACGTCGAGGTCGAGTCGAGTCGGAAGTTAGGGCGAGAGGTAGAGAATGGAAAAGGATTGGATGTGTGTGGTTCTGCTTCTGGTGCCTTACAAGTTGGGCCGCGAGACGACGTTGTCCCTCGGATGGGCCTCAACGAACTAGTACAGGAACCAAGGAAGAAGTGATAAAGAAGAGAAGATGAATGGAATGGAAATATCAAAAAGTCGGAGAGGAAAAAGAGGAGAGTAACACAGACAATCTCCATATGCAGACCTTGAGCAACGTTCCTCAGCGTCTGCACTCTCCGTAAGGTAGCTTGCTATGCTTCCACAGGATAACGCGGCAGACCAAGTTTGGGCGTGGTTTAATGGCCAGTTACCTCACATCACCTAACGCATCAGGCATCTAGAAGCGAATCAAAGTGCCCCTCCCCCGCGTGGGTGGGTTTTGAAAATGGCCAGGGGGGTTGGGTTGGGCTGGGTTATTGTAGACCAGGCCCTGTCCCTTTTGCTCTTAGACCCGGTAACGACTGATGTTGAGTTCATAGAGTATCCGTAGACCCTTCGTTATAGAGTCATATGTGCTTGCACAGCATAACACCGTACGAGCTAGAATCATACGACTTGACGGGTAGGAATAGGGTAGTTCTTGTCCCACGATAACTTCGTGGGTGGCTGGTATCCCCAAACAAGAAAATATGAGACTGTGGATGATCAGTTTTTGTCGGTGTGATGTCACGTGGCT